TTGCATTACTGAAGCATGTGGTCAGTCTCTGTGAGCCACATGGAATGACATAAAGCTAAACAAACTAATTTGAATACTTTTCAATAGATCTGAGCTGAAATTTTAATAGATTTGACTTTTTGGCTAGTATTACGGCTTTCCAAGATAAAATAAACTTCTATAGAATGTTCAGCCGCCCTGAGAATATCTTCAGTTTTTGTTGGGCAGAGCTAATAAACATAAGGAAGCTGTCCAGATGGTTGGATAATTTACAGCCCTGCTTGTTCTTGCATACTGCAGCTGGGTGTTCTAGCAAAACAAAAATACAAACAAACAAGAAAAAACACAAAAAAGGAGGGAGGAAGCCAAATCCCTAATAAATTTATCAAGCTTCTTGAGTTTCTTATTTTATCTGTTTTTCCAGTTTCTTTTTTCTTTCTTAAATCATGCGGTACAGCTTCTGCAACTGTGTGATTGCATCTTTATGTGCTTTAAAATACAAGTTTTGCATTTTAGGGTCTCAGTTTCTGTGAACCACCAAAAGAGTTTTGGCTATTGGGCAGTACAGAAAAAAACAAAAACAACTACAGCATTTTAAGTATTTGGGGCATGATTCACTATGTACAAACTGCAACTGTTTTTAAAAACAAACAAACAAAACAAGCATTGATGGTGTTTTTGAGAAAGTTCAAAGTTTTCCGGGATTTAAGAAATTACAGTTCAAATAATATTTTTATGAATGAAAAGGAACTTTCCCCTTACCTTTACACGCAGACACAAATGTGTACACACATGTCTTGGATAGATATAAGGAAAAGATAAGTTCTATTCAGGCATGTGGGAAGCTTCTCCTGTGTGGGACGCTAACATGTAAGGAGAAAGAGAGCTTTTGCCCTCACTCCTCCTCGTGCATTTCTGTTTCCCTGTGGCGGTCTGAAGAGGAAAACCTCCCATATCTGTATCTCACACCCTTGCCAATGCTTCTCCATCACCTCTTTGCAGAAACTATGGTTGCAGGATTGCACTGATTTGCCTGCTTTTAATGGAAAAATCCATTACAGATGACAAGTGCCTTAATTTCCTTCCTGATCTTTCTTTTTGCCGGCCTGACATCTTCAGCAATGCTATGACTTGGAACAGATATAACACTTATTTATTATATTTATATCCCACTTTTTTTCTTTTCAAAATAGTTTGCATCATTCGCCTCCTTCTGTTCTGAATCTTATCTCCACAACAGCAACCCTGTGAGTTAGGTTGGGCTGATTGTCTGTGACTGGCCCAGTCATCTAGTTGCCTCCACGGCTGAGCAGAGACTAGAAACCAGGTTGCCTGAGTCCTATTAGCCTATCACTTAAAGGTTGGGCCAGTGCCAAAACAACTTAGCCAAAGCACCTTCTGCAACTCTGGAACATGTGAAATACTTTATTAAATAGTGTTCCACTGAGTACCTGCAGAGTCCATTTCCCTGGCCACTGAGTTAAGCCATGTGGCATTTGAGTTGAGGAGGCAGAAGTCCCAGTCAAAGCATACAATGCCACTGCCTCAGATGAGAATTGCACAGCACCAGAGCAGTGCTGAAGCTTTTTACTTGAACCTTGGTACTCCTCTGGAAGGGTGCATTCACAGGAACATCAGAAGAGCCACACACCAGCTGAAAGTAGGTCCCCAACTAGTCTAATTGTGCCTATTGTGACTTGCTGTGGGTCTGCAGTGCTTTGGGCAAGGCCCTTCCAATCACCTGGACCTGGCCCTTTTTAAAACTGAAGGTCCCCAGGGATTAAACATGGGGGGGGGGGGGTTTGCATGGGAACACGCTTGCATTCTACCATTGAAAAGAAATCCCTTTCCATTAGTGACCCTTGGGCTGTTTCTCAAGGTGGGGTGGCTCAGAGACACATTCTTGTTATTACATTCCCAAACATTTCCAGCCCAGAATGCCCCATTTCCTTTTGAGGGTATCATATGGCCGAAACTACATTAGTATGATACTTATAAATCCCAGGTTTAGATGTTCAGCATTTCTTTCCATTTACTTACAAGCCCATTAAACACAACATCCTTGCACCCTACCTGCTCGCTGTGTGAAAACTGAACTGGCACCACGATACTCCCAAAGCAAACTTTGCTTTGCTTTGGCACACGGTACAAGGCAGATCTGTAGCTGGCATGCTCCAAAAGTTCCCGTAGCCTGGTTATTTCCTTCCAAGAATGTAAAGAAAAAAACCAACCCCTGTTTTCCATTTTTAAATTTAGTGTTCACTCTGTAGCTAAAGGTCCTCATGGAAAACATCTTTAGCGACCGTGACTATGTTAACATGCAAGGCAAATCAAGACCTGGAATACACTGCCCACTTTGTTGGTAAACTGAGACCCTGCATCTCACTGCGGCTGTTCTGTCAGGCAAGCAACACCCAAGGTTCACTGTCCTGCATAATGACATGGGAGACCCCCAGTAAAATGAACGCTGGATTGGGAATGTTCTCCCCACTTCCTCTGATGCTGAACAGTGTGGTGTAAAATGAGGTCTGCCGTTTAAATTTACACCCAGCTGTTCTCTGTCTAAACTCTGGATGGATCATCTTCCTGATGCGAATAAGAGCTCAAATAGTTGTGGGTTCTCTGGGCACTCAAAAAAGGCAGCTGCTGTGTTTACGCAGGCTGATTGCTGAAACTGACCTGAGTTTTAGGAATCTGGGAAGAGAGCTTATACCAAATCAAACCACTCGGCCACCCATTTCAGCAATCTCTGGACAGACTACTTTCCAGGGTTGGGGGCATAGGTCTTTCCTGCCCCATCTGGAATGACTCACAACTGACTCTGTGACCCTCTATTTAAAAATGCAAGCCATTGGGACCTTTGTACACTGTTTGGAGGACATCATGAAAGAGAATTAGTATGTGTTCATTCTCTATTTTGATCCTTTATTGGATAGGGACGGACATTTGCCCTGTATTGAATTCTGTGATGTTATTGATCATCCACTGGAGCAAGCCACAAGGCTGCAGTTTAGGACAGTGTTATTGCCATCCCTGCTGTGTGCATGCAGGGGTAGAGGGGGATGCTGAGGCAAAGGCATAAGAAGTGGATGGAGTATGGGACACAGGAAAAAACTGGCCTCCTTTTCCTGAAAATCTGATGTGTTTGTGGAAGTCAATATCAGCCTTGTCTTGTGTCAAATGATGCACAAAAGTAATCCCAGTAACTGTTCCTGCCAGTCCTATTGTGCAATGATATGAGACTTCCCAATGATCTCACTTTGATTATCTGAACCTCACTGCTATCCAATTTTGTCTTGGCTGCTGGGGAGAAGGGAGAAATTCATTTGGTTTGCATTGTACTGTGAATATGGTTGATTTCACACTTTCAAACTAATAGGAGGCCTAAAACTCAAGAAATGTTTGAAATGTGCACTTTCTAAATTTTGCAATGGAGTTCTCCAGTGAAAACATGCATACAAAAACGTATATGGTCAGCAAAGGTGCACCAAAACAAGTAATGTAATGTGCCTAGGAAAGGGAATGTAAAAACGTACGCTAAGAGAATTGCTCACAACATGGTGTATTGTATGCAAAGTGGCATAAAACGCATGTATTAGCAGAAAAGCACACAAAATACTTATGGATTGTCATAGTGTTTTCCTTTTTCCTTGATGGCATCAGCCATGTCTGTCTGTCTGTCTGTCTGGCTATCTGTCTTTGGCTGCTTTCTGGCTACATGGTTGTTGGACAAGTGGCATGGTCTGGAAGAGGCAGGCTCAGGAGGGCATATGATTGCAGTCAGTGGAGGCCTAAATGGTGCTGCCAGATCCCTGGCAGCCGGGCAGTCTTGTCCCTTGTGACTGGTCGGAACTGCAGCCTGTAGGCCCCACTTCCACAGTCCAGCCTTCAGCCAATCTGCCCGGCTTGATGAATTTGCTTTGTGAAGGCCTGGCAAGGCAGGCAGGTCTCAGTGTGTCCCTCGCCTGGGCAGGCCGGGCAGTGGCTGTCTGTAGAGCGGGTGGAGTTGCTACTGCAGCTCACACATTTCCTAAATGGCACTGTTGAAGTCGTTGTGCTAGATGGGGAAGGCAGGAAATGGTATAGATGAAGTTGAAAGGAGACAGAAAGAGAAGAGAGCAAGTGGAGAAAAAATATGTTTGTAGTGTTGTTGTTTTTTTAAGAAAAGAATGAAAAAGGGTGGTTTACAAGGAAGGCATACAAGTAAGAAAAAGGTGGGAAAAATCAGCAAGAGAAAGATCTGAAGAACGCTAAAAAATGCTCAAGTTCTAGGAGCGAAGCACTTCCCAGTCTAGGCTGAGGAAATGAGTGGAGGCCCCTCCCATATAATCCTGGAACAGAAAGCGGAGGGACTCCTGCTCAACTTGAACACTTAGCTAGGGAAACTTCTGGGGAACATGCTTCACAGATCCAAGCTGTGTGATGCACAGAGGTCATGAAGAAGAAGCAAACTGAACTTAAGAATGGAAAAATAAGAAACTGAGGCAAACAAGATGGAGCAATTCATCTACCACTACTTGTTCCAAATGTTTTACCATTTTCAGTGGAACCCTATGTAAGCAGCACCTATCTTTTCATCATAATCCCTGATAACATACTCATTCTTGATTTGTTTGTTTTTCAGAATAATAAGGGAGAGCAATATACGCAATAAGCTACCAAACCCAACCTGCTAGGCATACATATGTAAAGCAAGCAACTTTCCCAGCAAGGATACTTAAATTCTCCATTGATGGGACAAGCACTTCTTGAAAGGGACATATATGGACAGTAGCAGCCTTCTGATTTCCACTCCATTTTTAAAAAGTGACACTGTCAGAAAGGAAACACCTACTGTGTACCTCCACTTGCCTTCTGATCCCCTATTAGTTAACCCCAAAGTGCATATGTACACAGCTTTAATCCCCAAGCGTATCTCTGAATCAGGGGAAAATCTGGAATTACTTGTAAAGTATTTTGGTTACTAATGCAGCTGTTACAAGTGTTGTATTTGGCAAGGGAACAAAAAAGGCACTGCATACCAATTTCGTGAGCCACTGTAAAAGCCGCATGGAGGCCGTCATCTTCAATCACTGCACAGCTGCGCTCAGGAGAGCATATGGTTCCAACGTCAGCCATTCCCAGAGTATCACATGAATGATGCCCACATAAATCCTGCCGAGGAAGGGAAGGGAAAGAAAGCATTTGAAGTTACAGTTTTGTACCCACAGGCAGTGACAGCTTGAGCTGTAGGCTCTTTGCAAAGGGCAAGACCCAGATGATGAGAATAGCCAACACAAAGATGGCACTGACAAAGTTAACAATGAGCAACACAACAAACTTCTAATCTGAGGACCTCAAAGCCCAGATTGCCAAGACAAAATGGAAACAATTGCATTGATTGGAAAGAGGTAGAGCCGCAATCAGATTAACATTCATTCATTCATTCATTCATTCATTCATTCATTCATTTATTTAGGAGACTTCTATGCTGCCCCATTCGCTGAAGCCTTGGGGCGGCTCACATCCATAAATAAACTTCCATAGAATAATATAAATTAACAGTATAAATTAAGTTGCCCTGACCAAAGAATAAAATGAATGAATACTATTAACAATTAAAATGACATTTGAATAAAAAGGTCTTCGCCTGGTGCCGAAAAACAAATAACGACGGCGCCAGGAGGACCTCTCTGGGGAGCGCATTCCAAAGATTGCGCTTGTTTCATAACTATACTTGTTTCACTATGAAAAACGCCATCATCAAAGAGTCAGTCTGACATTCCTAAGGTTGTATAGACACATGCTGGCTCTGGAAAGTTTGGCATGGGCCAGTTTCTGCATATGCTTTTCCTAGGGCAGGAGGTGACATTCCACTCTTTTTTGAATGGAGACCAACATGAGTAGTTATGATGTTCCGTAAAATGTCATTCTGGCAACGATTTGTGCTGATGTGCTTGGTAAAGCTTCCTAGGGCCTTTTCTACAACTGTTGTAGCACATCTTAATCTCTTTTCTTCTAATATGCTTAACCATGGGCCTGGGGGAGCAACCTATTTCTGCATGCATGCATGCATGCATGCTTTATGGGTCCTTACAGTTGAGATCCCAAAGCTCACTGTTTGGCCTCCTTATATGATCCATGATCAAATGTCTGCTATAACAGCCACTGAACTTGCTCCAATTCCTACTTTTTAAAACATGGTTAGAAGGTAGATACAGAGTTAAAGGAAAATGAAAAACTACTAAGACCTGAAAGTATAGCAGAGGCCGACTTCATATTATTCACTCCATATTAAGTGACTAGGGATGGAACCATACAACTATCTTTGGTGGATAAGGTTCACAGTTCCTGGAGCAACATAGGATCGGTGCAGAAGATAATTTATCACAGGGATAGGAAATACTAACTCCCTGAATATCACTGCGCAACTCCATTATCCCTGACTATTGAGAACATGAGTATTAATCAAACAACAGCTGGGGGATCACAGACTCTCCACCATGGCTTTGACACATGGAGGCCAATTTCAACCTTACACTTCTGCTTCACAGTTCTTCTTGATAGGGGCACTCAAGACTCAAACAGAGATACAGGTAATGGTAATAGCGGGCATATGAATTTAGAATAATGGTGTTGTTTGGTAGTGCTTTATTGTGTTATTGTTGCACAATAGCTGCTCCACAAATACAGGTCAGCTATTTGGAATGTATATACATATTAGCATTTTGAAGTAATCCTAGCAGACAGGTACGTTTACCCAAAATCCATTGAAACATCATATTCTAGACAATACAAATTCCTCACTGCCTGTTACAGTTTAGGATGGTGAAAATTTAGCTACGGTTGGCCAATAATAAAGTTCCAGGAGATTATTTATTTTCCCAGAGCAAGGCTGGACAACTTCTGGGGACTGGAGCACACACTGCTCCCCCAGATGCCACCAGGAACTATGCTCCTTTTGCCATGATCTTGGTGTGCAAAAAAGTATGGAAAATGTGTACCTTCTTTTCAAGCAATATTTGGGAGACTTTTGGGAACAACATTTTGCTTGCCAACAAGGCATGTGGTCCCCACATGTCTTTTCTTCAAGGAAAAGAGATTCTTTTTTTTTTTTTTTTTTTTTGGTAGTTGCTGCCACTGCAGTTTGGTTCCAAACCATCATTACTTGATGGAAATTGGAGCTGTGGGGAGACACCAGGAAGTTCAGGGTGCCACATGTCCCCATGAATTGCCCTTTCCCTAGAGCTATTTACAATAATTAATTCTAGTGTTTTTCTGTGCTAGTTGTTAATCCATTACTGATACTGGCCAGATAGTGGAAAGATGAACATCATAGTGTCAATTTTCAAAAAGTAATTGTAGAACAGTTATTATGCTTGATATAGCTTCTAGGCAGGTGCCACATTATTTATTAAACAAATTAGAAAAAAATTGGTTAAATACAATAAATTGCTGGCAAAGATTTTGGAGAACTGAAGAACACCTTTGAATAATGTTTCATGTTGGACTATTTGGTCTCCAAATATACACCCAAACCCATAACATATCTATGTGCCAGCTTCACAGACCTTTTGTCAGAGTTTGGTTTAATTAACTGAGGTTGCATAGGGATGACATTATTCCATACTTACATAGGTGGCCATCTACTTTTGCTTGTAAACATTATTTGCAAATAGAAAAAATAGAGCAAAGATAAGTTCATAAGAGGACATTCTTGTTTTACTCTGAGAGGTGTTCATGACATTGTATGTCCCTTGCATACTCTATATATAGTATATGTATAAAACGATGATTTGCAGGGATACTGCCATGGGTAGTCACAAATGGGCCCATGCTGAGATTCACATGTCATCAGGGACCCACTGACAAGAGCCTCCTGGAGTGACTTTCCCTCTTGACCATGGCAGCCTGCATGTTCACCTGCTTCCTACGCAAGGCCAGACAATGGAAGTACTGAGAAGGAGCAGCAGCAGATGCCGCTACCTACTTGCTCACCTGCTGCCAAGGAAGTAATTGATGAAAAAGAGGATGAGGAGCAACAGCAGCTAGTGGCTGGTGGTGAGAAGGTAGGCTTCTTGTGGAAGAGGGTCCTCTGAGGGTGTCTTGCACATAAGCCCTCAAAAGCCTAAGTGAGCACTGCTTATGAAGATCAATGGATCCTGATTATGCATTCTGTCTGAGCAGGGCCTTTTCTATTCATTTAAAATGGGGTATGCTCAGTGCTTGCCCTTCTAATGCATGTGCAGAACATCTCCTGCCATGCAATCAGTATGGGCCCCTAATTATTCAGTCCACTGTGCAAAGTAAACAGTGCTTGTAGGTATCCCAAACCTGCTCAAAAATGGCCTAAGATGGCAAATGTGGCACCACCTTGATTAGAAGTGGCACCTGTGAAAACAGTTCAGATACTCCCTAGGAACTTTTCCAATCACACCAGTTCTGCAGTTTATAGAATATGTGGTTAAGTAAGTGCCTTTTCAATACTGCTGTTTTCACAAGAAACCAGCCAAGAAATCTATCAGCATGATGCCTTATTTCTCCAAATCCCAGATTTCCCTGTTTCATTCAAATATTCCTTCTACTAATTTACCACTTCCATGAAAATTATATATACAAACTAACTAACTATATTATTAATATCCTGTAGTGACTTTTAGCCACATATGCTTAACCTCTTACTCATGCAGTTTTGGCAACTTTTATGCAGAGTCTTGCAGACATCCTCCTTTACTGTTTTTCTAGGAATCTACATGTATTACTACACACACATATGTTGTACTATATTCAAGATACTGAATGATTCATTAAATGGCCAGAATATTGTCCAGTTTACAAAACAGGCAATGTTTTTGTCTGGTTGAGGTCTAATGCTTAATTTGCAAAATCAACTATCCAGGGAATCCCAACCTTTTTCAGCCTGTGGCCACAATTGGAGTTTTGGGAAAGTGCTATTTATTTAGCTTCATTTATTTACTACCTTTAAGGGCATCATCATTAAAAGGTGGCAAGGTGGGGTATGGGCAGGTATGGCCACCTACACATTTGCTGCAATCACAATACTTACTATAAACACAGGAGATAAAAGGTGAGGATAAAAGGAACTTGCTTAACAACTGGAGAACAAGGTGGAGGCAGAATCTGAGCTTCAAACAACTCCACTCATCTAAGACCTGGTTTGGGAGCCAACAGAACACCCACTTCAGAGAAGGCAAGGCAATCTACTTTCCTAAATCACATCTAATAACCACCACTTAAATTAACGCACAAGCCATGCACACCCTATTTTTGCCAGGATCATCCATGCCATGAACCCTCTTTTTCTGAGGACAGTTCTCTATTTGAAGGGCTTCCAGAGGGCTACTTGTTATTTGAAGGTGAATGTTAAAGGCTTCCCTTTCCAATTTAGTAGTTAGAACAGAATTGGCAAATCATGTTGTGTGAAGCTCATCAGTGTTTCATATCATGATGAGATGTGCTGTATTTTGCCTTAAATAATGATTATTTGCAAATTCACATTTATACAGATAAAATAGCATAAGCAAATTTATGCAAATAGATGCTGACTTTCATTCTTTTGGGCAATCTGTAAGCGGCCCCTGACTCCTTCTTTTTTCTTCCTTCATGGCCTCCTGGGTGTCTCTGTGATCTCCTTTCCACACATATGCATGGTAGCGTTAGTGTAATTCATAAGCTGTTGGCAGAACTATCCTCCATGAGAAGAACTATCAGGATGTGGCATTAGCATGCTTTGAAGGCACATTCTGCGCATGCAGTGCTCCTGCATGCAAGCAACACACAGCATGCCTCAGTAGATGGAGCTAACCTAGCAGAGTGTTTCTCCTGTTCCCTTCCTTCCTGCAATAATCTGTGATGGTTATCCAAAGGAGAGCCGTGCTGGATCAGACCAAAGACCTACCTAGCCCACTGTTAGGTTGGCCCTCAGTGGCCAACCACATGCCTTCATTACTGCATTTATGCCCTGCCTTCAGCCAAAAAGGATCCCAGAACAGCTTAGAAAACCAGGAAGCACATCGGGCCCTTCCCCCGCGCATAGGATCTGCATCTAAAACACGGTACACAAAGAATAAGGGATAGGAAGTGAGGAGTGTTTATAGAATTAAAGTTTGTTTATAAAAGCCTATTTGGAGAGTTCCCTTCAGAAAACCCAGAAG